AAAAAAAAAAAAAGAAAGAAAGACACAACAAAGGACCAAAACAAGGCAGGGTTTAGATGAATTTATATTTATATTTTTTTAAAAGGTCTTGCTGTTCATCCTAAAGAGACCAGTGTTGGTTCACAGTGGATGTGTATAGTAGGATGGTGCTGACTAGAAGAGAAGGCATCTTATCACTTACCTTGTTGTGACAGCATGTGCACTTATAAACAAACAAACAAACAAACAAAGAGGAGCTGGACAAAAGCAGAAGCATAGACTGCTCAAGAGCAGAGCACGCAGACACGAAAGCGAAGGTCAGAAATGCTTCAGAAGCATGTGGTCCGCAGGTCGACTGCCTCCTCGTGCGGCGGTGCTTTTTCTTCGATGTCCGCATTTTTAGTCAGACCATTAAATGTGTTTGCAACCACAAGTACAAAGCTCTTTTTGGACTATATGACAAATTTGTGTAAAAAACAAAACAAAAAAAAAAGGACACTTGTCTTCTGTTATATTAGCCCAAGTTCTCATTTTTTAAATAGTTTTTGTAGTTAACAAGTTACATTGTAAAACTGTTATAACTTAAACCATGAATAAGAAAGTGTGAGCCTTTGTTGTAGCTCTTGCTTACTCTTAAATCTGTCAAAAGGGTTTTTATTTTTTTTGTGTTTTTTTGGTTTTTGTGTTTTTTGCTTTGTTTTGCTTTGTTTTTTTGTTTTCGCATACTTACATGCACTTCAAAAACCTTATATTAATTTAATGATGTGAAACGTGACAGAATAATTGTTCATTCGTGCCCAGACGTTTCAGGCAGAAACCATCCTCACCACATGCAACGGTGTTACAACCAAGGAGCAGCACTGAAAAACTGATACTGACCATGTTGAGAAGCAGAACCGCAGAACTTACTCTGGTAATGATTCTGATTGACCTTGGTAGCTGATTAAATCAAGATTTAATCAGGAACTTGTATAATTTAATTGCAATGTGCACAGCACTCCAGTGTTGAGAATTCAGGAAAAGCCCTAAAAAATCTTTACACCCACATTGCCCACAGACGTGTACTCACACTACTATAAACTCCACTCGCAAAAGACAATGAAAATGCATCAACATATCATCCTGTTTTTCCCACGTGGCATGATCGAAAAACTAGCAAAAACAGAACAATGATAAGAAATCCAAAATTCTGTGTCAGCATCCACTAATACATATACATTTTTGTTAATGATAAATGTAGGCTACATAATATAATTAAAAGAATTTGACCCAGAGTAATCACATGGCCAAAACGCAACCCTACGGTATCATTTTTCAGTCATGCTGTGTGTTTGTGGCCTTTTTTGTGGAGTTCTTCTTGCCTCAGCCTCATTAATGCATTGTTGAATGTGTTAAATGTTTGATTACAGCTATTTAACAGTTGGAGATCGAGATGTAGTTAGCTCTACAATACACAAACTCACAACTTCAGACAAAAACAGCATTCTTTCTCCACCAAATGTATTATTACAATAGCAATATTATGACTGATGCAATTAAAGTGTTCTTCTGGACCTACACACTATTATAACTACATTATTACAACTTTCAGTAAAATCATTGTTAGTTATAATCCCTGTTGCAGAGGGCTAACATTCTGCCATCAGTAAAGAATGTCCAAAATGTCTTTCCAGTGCTCCGGACACACAATATTATAGTGGAACTCATTCCACTGAATGTGTTTGTATGTTCTCTATATGTTAAATCATACTATTTTTTATTTACATTGTCAAGAAATCAAAAAATGTAAACATTTTCTCCACTCAAGTGTTTGATATTTTACCCATTTGTTACCTGACAGTCAAGAATGGCTCATTCCACAGCACTTTGTCATGCTGCCAAACCCATGCCACAGTCTACGTACTCATGGAGGAAGTGCTCATTATTTATTTGGACTGTGGAGCCTATACTTGGCGTAAGCTACACTACAAAAAGTAAGGTTCTTGGTTGATGGTGAACTGTTGTGCCTCACTCACATCACAATCATCTGAATATGTTGAAACTTACTGTAGTAAGCACTACAACATCAGATAGTTTGACAAAGCTTTTTGTAACTGCAACACCATCAAATCTTTTTTGGGGGGGGGGGGACAAATTTTGATTGTGTGTTTTAATGCACAGTCAACACGTTTATCTGGTAAGCGCTTAACGTGTGACAAGGAGACAGGTAAAGTTAGACATCAAATGGAATGTAAATCTGAGAATGCAGATAAAATATACTTGATTTCATTATGAAGCAAATGTCAGTTCCATCATAAAAATGAGCGTGGGTTAGCGGCCTGTTTCACATGTGGACAAAGGCTAATTTTTAAGTGCTTGTAGTCGATAGAATGTTATTTGTCAATAGTATTTATTTAACAACTATGGAAATCAGCTTGCTCCTGCATGTATCAAAGATAGATGGTTCAATTTCTTTTTATAGCCGGCTTTTTATGATTGTATAGGATTTTCTAATCATGCTTCTATAGAAAACAGGAGATTACTATACAGCTGTCAAAAAGTATCAAAACAAGAATGGAAAACATAAAAATGTGGATATCTTTGTAAATAAACATGTACATAACAGAATACCTGCAATAAATTAAAAAAAATAAGAAACTTGCTGGATTGTTTTTAAATTTTTTGGTTGCATTTTGTTTCAGGTGTGGATTCACTGGCCACTTTATTAGGTACAGTTTGCTAGTATTGGGTTATACACCTTTTCTGCCTTCATGGCACAGATTAAACAAGGTGCCAGAAACATTCCTCTGGGATTTTGGTCCAGATTGACTTGATAGCATCACACAGTTCCTGTGGATAGATGCCTGTTCCACCACATCCCAAAAGTGCTCTATTGGATAGAGATTTGATGAGTGTGGAGGTCATTTGAGTACAGTCAACTCACTGCCATGTTCAAGAACCCAGTTTTAGAGGATTTGAGCTTTGTGACATGGCACCATATCCTACAGGAAGCAGTTATGTGGGTAGATTAGATGTTTAAATGATGCTCTGTTCGTATTAAGGGGATGGCCTTTTTGTGTAATATTTTGCATGGTCTTTCCTGTGCCTCCTGACTGAGTGTGTAAGGTAGTTTAAGCATTTAAAATTCATAGAATCAAATGCTGTATGAGTGTTTGGTTAAACGTGACTTGAGCACTTTGCTTGGTAAGTATGACTAGGAAAGCACTTTATAAATGTCAGTCCATTTTCATACATTTTGGTATATAAACTATTCAATCAAATGTACCGTCAATGGTATTTTGTTGTTAGTTTTTTAGGGATTTGCTCTTTCACTTACCAGTTATGTTTAATGTAAGTCAACGTATAGGTTTCCTCTATGTGCATTTTCTGCAGTTTCCATGTATAGGGATTTTATTGTGGTTGACTACTGGCTGGTGACAAAAATGTGCAAAGAGTCACATACCTATCCATGTAAATCTCCAAAGAGAAGGGTATATTAACTAGGGGTGCAACGATACACAAAATTCACGGTTCGGTTCGGTTCGGTTCGATACTTTGGTGTCACGGTTCGATATTTTTTCGATACAAAAAAAATGTTCATGCCTTTTTAATTTGTCATTTATTAAAATTATAAATATATATTTTAACTCAAACGTACAGCTTTTAAATTTAATGTTGCTGAAACAACAAAGTAATAAAATAATAAATCTGAT